GGGAAATAGCTCTAAATGGGATAAAATTGTTCCATACATACTATCTGATCATACTGCCATGAAACTGGAAGTTAATAAAAAAAGAGACTGTAAAAACTCCATAAACACATGGAAACTAAATAATACATGCCTGAACAATCAGTTGGTCACCCAGGACATTAAAGAAGAAATTAAACAATAACTACAAGCAAACAAAAATACAATTACAACTTACCAGAACCAATGAAAGCAGTCCTTCAGGGGAAATTTACTGTGGTCAATTCCCACACCAGGAAAAGAGAAAGAACACAAATAAATAACCTAATACTACTCCTCAAACATCTAGAAAAAGAAGAGCAGCCAAGCCCAAAGTCCAAAGTAGGGAGGAAATTATAAAGATCACAGCAGAAATCAATGCAATAGAGACTAAAAAAAATACACAGAATTAATGAATCAAACAGTGGTTCTTTTGAAAGAAAAAATATAATAATAAGCCCCTAGCCAACCTTATTTTAAAAAAGAAATAAAAAAGTCAAATTCATGCAATAGGAATGGAAAGGGAAAAATCACTACAGACCATATAGAAATAAAGAAGATCATCAATACCTACTTCAAAAACCTTTACCCTCATAGGTATGATAGCACAGAACAAATGGACAGATTCCTAAACACATATGAATTACCAATGTTGGATGAATAAGATGTAAAACTGCAGAGTAACCCTATTTCAATTAATGAAATTGAAAACTTATCAACAAAGAGAAGTCCAAGTTCAGAGGGATTCACTGAGGAATTTGATGAGAAATTCAAGCAAGATATAATTCCAACACTCCTCAAACTCTTCAAACAAATTGAAAGGGAAGCAATTCTCCCTAACTCATTTCTGGAAGCAAGTGTTATACTAATACCAAAATCAGAGAAAGATCCAACCAAAAGAAAAAAGAGAATTATCGGCCAATCACCCTAATGACCACAGGTGCAAAAACCCTCAATAAAATACTGGCAAACAGAATGCAGCAAGTTATCAAGAAGATTTTACACCAGGGCCAAGTGAGATTCATCCCAGGAAGGCAGGGATGATTCAACACACACAAACCAATAACCATAATACACTAAATCAATAGAGTCAAAGATGAGAATCACACGATCATTTAAATAGAAGCAGAAAAAACTTTGATAAAGCCCAACATTCATTCATTCATGATAAGAGTCCTATGAAAAACTGGAATACATGGGCTCTACCTCCATCTGATAAAAGTCATCTATGACAAACCAACAGTCAGCATCATATTAAATGATCAAAAACTAAAAATTTTCACTCTAAAATCAGGAACAAGACAAAGATGCCCACTATCACCATGCCTATTCAATATAGTATTGGAAACCTTAGCCAGAGCAACTGGACAAGAGAGAAATAAAAGGAATTATGGAAAGGAAAGGAGGAAGTTAAATTATTATTTGCAGATGACATAATACTCTATGTAGAAAACCCCCAAAACTACATTGAAAGACTTCTAGATGTGACAACCAACTTCAGTAATTTAGCTGGATATAAGGTCAACACTCAAAAATCAATAGCATTCCTGTATACAAACAACAAACTCACTGAGAGAGAAATAAGAGAAACTACACTCTTCACAATAACATCCAAAGAAATGAAATCCTTAGGAATCAATCTAACAAAGGAAGTAAAAGATCTATTCAGTAAAAATTACAGTACTCTGAAGAAAGAAACAGAAAAGGATGTGAGAAATTAGAAAGGCATTGCTTGTTCATGGATAAGAACAAACATTGGGAAAATGGCCATTCTCTAAAAATTGTCAAAAAATCTCCAATAAAGTGAAAAGAAACTCACTAATTGGGAAAAAATCTAAGTCAATTGTCCCACAGACAAAGGACTTCTTTCTAGAATATAAAAACACCAGACCCCCAAAATTCAAAGACCCAATCCAAAAATGGGCATCTGAGATGAACACACACGTCTCAGCTGATGAAATATACAAATGGCAAATAAATACATGAAAAAATGTTCAGCATCATTGGTCATTAGTAAAATGTAAATTAAAACCACACTGAGATTCTATCTCACTTTAGAAAAAAATGGCCAGGATTTAAAAAATCACCAATAACAAATGCTGGAGAGGCCGTGAGGGAAAAGAAACTCTTTTTCACTGTTGGTATAGTGCAGAATGGTGCAACCACTGTGGAAATCTGTCTGAAGGTTCCTCAAAAAGCTGGGATTGGAAGTTCCATTTGAACCAGCTAGTCCACTTCTGGGTTTCTTCCCAGAAGAACTGAAAACATCATACCACAGTAATATATGTGCACCCATGTTGATAGCAGTAAAATTTGTAATAGCCAGACCTTGGAAACAACTCAAATGTCCGTGAACTGAGGAATTAGTAGAAAAGATGTGGTGTTTTTATACAGTGGAGTATTACTCAGCTATAAAGAAGGATCGCATTGAGGGTTTTAATGGATGTGACTTGAGACCATACTCAGAGGTGACATAAATTAAACTCATATGTGTAAATACCATAGTCTCCCTAGTGTGAAAAACTGAATGAATAAATAAGACAAAACTTCTATTAATATTATGAAAGGGTAAAAAACTGCTCAACTGGGAAAAAATAACTCAGGAAAAGAGGAGGAAAGAAGAATGGGAAAAGAAAAAGATACAAATTTGTATATATACACTTAAAGTAGCTAAGATTATTGTACTACTAATTCTATTAGTTCTTGGAACAAAACAGTTAACGTTCATGGGATTAGATCAATCTTGCATGCTTATATCTGTAATCTGAGTAACTCTTTTGAAGATAACTTTTCAAAATAATGAACATGATATTATGTTCCTACCACCTTGTTTTGGATTCTTTGGTATTGTTATCTATTTTTCTCTTTTGTTTTTCTTGTATTTTGTTTTATTTTGTTTTTTCCTCTAATACAGAAAGGATAGATGTACATGTATGGGCTTATACATGCCTAGGTCTCCTAAAGAATTTATAAGAATTGATTTCATTATGTGTAATGGTATGAACAGCTACTTTTAAGAAAATGAGACATTATGGTAGCCATTTTATGCCATCTTGTTTTGAAGTTCAAGAATGCTTTTATTCTTTGTTTGCATTGGTTTTAGTGTATTTTCCATTATTTGATTTCAATATGCATGAAGGTATAGATAGCCATTTTGAAGAGAAGACATTACAGTACATTACAGTAGCCATTGATTTTCCTATTAGATGATTTTGAAGATCGGTAGTGCTTTCATTCTTTTGTTTTGACCAGTTTTACACTGTTTTGTTTTGTTTGCATTCACTGTGTGTGAAGATATGGACAGCTATTTCAGGGGGAACAGGAGACATTGTGGTAGCCACTGTTGATTTCCTATTGTCTTGTTTTGAAAACTTGCATTGCTTGCATTGTTTTGTTCTGATCTGCTTTGTTTTGTTTTGTTTTGTTTTCTCTTTAAAGAAAAAAAGAAAAATAAGAAAAAGAACCCAAATTTGGTGGGAAAAGGTTACTTTGTTATTAGAAATTGTAAATCTGACATATGCTAGAACTGTTAAGTCTCTCCCTGCCATGCAATTCACCAACTGCCATATTAGAGTTTCCCTGAAAACTGGTTACCTTCCAGATTTCTGAATCAGCATCTTTGTATGGATATAAGATCATTATTACAAATGCAGAAATTGTCCTTCTGTACTTACCCACATAGTTATCAGAGATGCCACAAGTATTTTCCCATAAGAGCTGAAGCTTTCACTTAATATGTTTCACATATGAAAAGACTGAAATATGGCCACTGAGCTTTAATGGATTTTAGAATAAATCCATTAAAAAAGGTTAAGTGAAGAGTGTAACAGGAAAGATGCGTGGGGACCAAGACAGGAATTGATAGCACAGTAGAACCTACCAAATGAACACCAAAGTTTCTGTGGATTGAACAGGAAAACTAAAATGTCAACCTGGATCAAACAATCAATGAATGCAAGCAAAAATTACTCTTTTCTGTAGAAAATTAGAGATCAAAAACCACAAAGAAATAGAAAAGAAAACAGAAAAGAAAAAAATTGGTACAACTTCAAATCACCTAATAGGTCCCAAGTGTTTTCAAAGTGGCTCTAATAGCATAGGATTAAAATGTTGCTAAATTCTCACTTAACCGGACTACACTAACCTTCAATATGATAATTTATGCTTATGTGGCTTACTTTCTACTCCTACTATGAATGATACTTAAAGGAAACTATTCCTAAGTTGAACGTATGTGACAGTCCTCTTGTTATATTTGGTATCCATTCAGAATTACTGCTTTTCTAATTGATTAAACTGCACATCTGGTACTACTTCTTCCTTTTCTACTAAAGAAGAAATATCAAGCAATTAGAATTATTGTGCTCAAAAGTATTTTCTTTCAGGCAGTCATCTATTTTGTTTTTGAGCGGCTAATAAAAATTCATTTCTGTTTGGCTTTGCTATCTATAAATTTATAAACTGAAAATGTCAAGAAGAGAAAATATAAAAGGAAATTTCCTTTAAACTTGGCATTTCTATTCATTCTACTTAGTATAATGAACTGGAACACATACATAACTTAATACCAGAGAATACTGTACTATAAAAATACACTGAAAAACTATTTAAAATTTTTAATTTAGTCATAATTTAATAAAGTTAAACATGTGGCTTAGAAATGTCTTTCAGAATATTTCAACTGTCAGTATTTCACAGTATCATTTTTATTTTTATTTTTTTGGTACTGGGGATTGAACTTGCAATCTTGCGCTCACCACGCAGGTGCCTATACCACTGAGCTAAATCCGCAGCCCCAGTTTGGGTTTTGATAACTAAAATAGTAAAGTGGAAGATAAAAGTATTTTATTTCTCAAAATATAGTGGCTATAAATTAGTAATACTGAAAACATAAAAACATTTAAATATTGCTTTGATTCCTACCCTAAAATAATAAGCTTTGTTAAGTATTACATGCCATTTTCAGACACTAAAATTTTACCAACCTCTATATCCTTCCACTTTTGTAATTCATTTTCCATCACTGATTTTTCTTCTAACAGCAATTCAAAATCATTTTGCATCTGTTTGCATTTCTAAAAGCAAATATTATAAGTTACTAATAATGAAGAACAAAGACCTCAATATATAAAGGCTATTTGGGTACTTATCTATTAAAGTAAATTTTCATTGGTTCATGAAAATAATCATCATAATAAAGCTATTATAGAGGTCAAGAAATTAGAATTTGTAATGAATGCAACTATTGGGAGAACTGTAGGGTATTAGAGATTAGTATGTGAGAAGGATTCCTGAGTGATAATGAAACCTAGTGAAAAGAAAAGAATGCACAAAGCTTCCCAGTTCACATATTCAATTGAAATCTCTTGGATAAACAGTAAACATTAGATCTCCATTTAGGATTACGTAAATTGGAAACTTCTAGTCTATTAAAAACTCTCTAACAAAGTGCAATTTCAAACTGAGATTATGATACTTACAGCCTCTAACAAACTTTGATCATTCTTAGCTCTGAAAAACAGATAAAAATGTATTATAACTTTGTTTATATTTTATAAACACACTCATACATATTGTTTATAAAAACTTTCAAATAATAAAGGTTAGAGTACATTTTGAGTACTATTCCAAAACCCTAGTGATCTCCTCAAAAATATTATCTGATTGCTATTTTCCTTTCACATTGTGTTGCATGCATTTATGTAATATTATATCTACCTACTTAATTCTATAACTTTTATTAATGTGTCCAATTTCTGCTTTTTTCATACAAATGGCATCTGTATATGGCTCCAATTTATGTTTTTCACTTAATATGATATGTAATATCTACTTTTATCTGTAAACAAAGATTCTTTTTATTTCTTTTAAAAGCTATTTATGATTCCATAGCAGGAGGTAGCAAAAGTCAAATAGTAAACATTTTAGATTCTATAGGTCTGCTGGTCTTTGTCACTACCACACTCTGAAAAAGCAGATGCAGGTGAAAGATAAATGATGACTGAGACTGTGTTTCCATAAAATTTCCTTTATAAAAAAGTCTCAGGCCAGCATGACTCACAGGCCAGTTTGTTGACTGTATGCCAGGATACACTATATTTTTTTATCAAGTGAGTTGCTTGTTAAATAAAAGTTTATAATAGCTTTAAGGTGTAGGGAGCCGAGTGACAGGCATTGCTGCCTCGATGTCTCTCTCTCTCCTATGGGCACTGCGACTGCCTACATTAACCATAATCCTCTCCGGCTTACGTCACGTATCCGGATGTGATGGTGACCCTGTTGTATTCTTCTGTTTAACCTCTTCCTGTCCCAGCTCCCGCCCTTAGCATATAAAAGGTGTGATCATTTTCTGAATAAACCAGAAGCTTGATCGGGTTATTTCGTCTTGCTTTCGTCTCTCTTTTGTCTCCCCTATGTCTTTTATTTAATCCCTGTTTCCCCTCCAGGAGTTCTGAACTTGTTGATCTGCAGGCCGGATCATTAAGGTATAATTAATATGCTACAAAATACATTTTAAAGGGCACAATTAAGTGGATTTTAATATATTCACCAACTTGAGAAACCAGAACCACTATCTAATCCAGAACATTTTAGTTTATCAAACAAGAGCTCAATAATGATCAGAAGTCGCCCCCCACTCTGACTTATCATGACCCAGCTCAGTAAGCCAGTGATCTATCTTGTCTCAATAAATTTGCCTATTCTAGATAGACCGTAGACATAGAATCATACAATATGTGATGTTTAGAGACTGACTTCTTACATTTAGTATGTTTCTAGGAAAATTCCTGCTATAGTGTCGATGAAGTGAATGGTTACATTTTTTAAAATGTAGTACAGTAAGACACAGTGCCATTAATCATCTTCAAAATATTTCTCCTCAGTTCTGGAAATACCTCTTCATTCTTGCCTCTGTCCTAAGCATTTCTGAAAGTCTCCTTTGTGCCTTAGTGAGGTATAATAAATAATATGGTGAATGCTGTCTTCCAGTGCCATCCAAAAGGAAAGGACAGGTTCATACGACAGTATGGTGTCCTCATCCACCGTATTCACCTCATTTGGCACAATGCAACTTTTGACTTTTCCCTAAAGTCAAGCTGACCATGAAAGGTAAACGCTTTGAACTGATTTAGGACACTGAAGCAACTAATGGACCCATTAAAGAGGACTCCCAGAACTGCTTCAGAAAGTGCCAAGAATGATGGGACAAGTGTATTTGAAGTGAGGGGAGCATTTTGAAGGTTATTAAGTGATATTTTCTAATACAAGATTTTTTAAATTTAAATTTTAATTGTATATTTTGATTACACCTCATGTTAATACTAAGCTTTTTAAACTTTAAGATAACATTAAATATATGGATATCACATTTATTTAATAATTTACCAGCTTATAGACACTTGTATAATTTTCACTTTTTGGCTACTGTGAATAATGCTAATGTGAATATTCATGTCCAAGGTTTTGTGTGGATATAAATTTTCATTTCTCTCAGGTATAAGCCTAGAAGTACAATTGTAAATGTTCATTGCCAGATGAATGGATAACAAAATGTAATGCATACAATGAAATATTATTTAGCCTTAAGGAAGTCCTGTCATTTATGACAACATAGATGAACACTATCATAAATGAAATACACCAGGTGCAAAAAGTCAATTACTTCATGATCTCATATATGGAGTTTTCTTTTCTTTCTTTCTTTCTCTCTTTCTTTCTTTTTTTGAGTCAAGGTCTCACTAAAGATAACTCATGGAAACAGAGTAGAATGGTGGTTAACATGGGAAGATGAGAAAAAGGGTTATTGGTTAAAAGGTACAAAGTTTTATTTACATGTGGCAATAAGTTCTAGAGATCTATGGTACAGTGTCCTTGTAATGACTTCAAGCTCTATCATTTTGTAGAATATATCAATAATTCCTCCAAGTCTGAATAATAATCCACTGCGGTTATGGTATAAGCCACATTTTGTTCATCCATTCATCTCTTGTTGGACATCTAGGATGCTACCACTGTTTAGATGTTGCAAATAATGCTACAATAAACATGGATATGCAAGTATCTCTTTGAGGCTCTGCTTTCAACTTTTTTGGGTACATACCCAGAAATGGAACTTTTAGATCATACAGCATTCTGTTTTACTTTTTTGAGAAACTAGCACAGTGTTATTCCATAGAAATTAGTTCACATTCCATTTTACATTCTGTATGTTCATAGCTTTATATTTAATGTTATATATAATCTAAAACTTGATGTAAGAACTCTAAATTTTGAAAGAGGCCTTATTTTGTTTGTGGTTCTAATATTTGCACCATAAATATGCATTTAATTTTACAATTAGAAAAAAAGAGTTATTTTAAAAACTTACCTCTCCAACTCATTTGTCTGTTTTTCAAATATTTTCAACATTTCATTCACTTGATTAGTCATTGAAGAAGCAATTTCTGGTATAAAAAATAAGGAAATAAATTTAAAAGTAGTGAAAATGACTGAAACTGTAGCTAGATGCTAATGCAATTCATTGATATAAATGTGAAAACTACATAAGCAAAAAAGGAGACAGGAAGGCCACATGGGTAGTATAGAACAATGCGTTTATGAATCAGATGACTATGATATTACTGAACACCCATTATGTGCAGAGTAGCATTCTCTAAATCCTTAAAACAACCAAAAAGGAATTAAATTAGTTTAATTTGATCTAGTAAGTGACAAAATTTGACTTAGCTCCAGAATATGTGAGTTACTTATGATACAGCATATTAAAAGAACTTTGGGATGGTAAGAAACTGCTTTCTTGCTGTCACTAAAGGACCTGGGAAAAAATCTAGTTAACCTATTAAGTTTTCCAACCATGTTAAATGACCTAAAAGGAATCTTACAAGATATTCAAAAGGGAAGCAATATAATTAGTATCTATAATGACCAACAGCTTATAGATTAATAACAAAAATTTTAAATTATGTACATAAGTATATGACAGAAAACAGTCAGTAAGTAGCAGTTATTTCTATTAAATAAGACATATACAAAAAGGTGTCAAGTAACATGGAACATGATAGTTCCCATACAATAATTATGTTTGTTCTATTCCACATGCTAAAATGGATGTACACAGAAATATGACAAATGTTTAGGAGCTAATAGGGAAGATATAAGTAAGCTAAATCCTAAATATGAATAGAATGTAATCAGAAAGAAAAACAAAAGACAAATGCTATGGGCAAAAACAAAAATGGGCAACGTTTATCAAGGGCACCAAATCAACTTCAATCTTAAGAAACCAAGTAAACCGTAAGTTTTGCTTGAAGAGAATCAATAGTCAATAAAGATTCAGATGGTACACTGTGAGAAGCCTGCTTCAAAATGACTAAATTTAAAATTTATTATAGATAAGAATAATTTCAAATGTAGGCACTAAAAAGTTATATAATTTTAAAAGCACTTTTTATAAATTATTTTAAGGGACATAAAATTGCACATATCCATATGTAGTATGATGGTTTGAACCACATATAATGTGCAATGGTCATATACACATAGACTCACATAATTATCATTTTGGTGGTGAGAACAGTTAACACATTCTCCTAGAATTCCTCCTAGAATTCCTATTGTATATTGTAAATATACAATATATTAGCCCTGCTGAACAATATAGTCTCCTAAACACATTCCAGTCATCTCCAATGTTGTATTCCTTGACCAGTATCAATATCTACCCAATGGTCCCTCCCCCTAGGCGCCTAGTTTCTGGTAACCAATACTCTATTTTCTACTTCTAGTGTGTCAAATTTTTTAGACTCCACATGAAGAACATTATTTGGGTTATGCCTGTATATTCTACTTAACATAATGTCCTTTATATTCATCTATGTTGGCACAAATGACAGAATTTCCTTCTGTTTTTATACATACTATGTGTGTGTCTGTGTGTGTGTGTCTCTGTGTGTGTGTGTGTACAGATCACATTTTATTTCATCTTTTGACAGACAGGTTGATCCTATATCTTGGCTACTGTCATTTGTGGTGCAATGAACATGAGACTGCAGATGTCTACTCAATATACGGATTTTATTTCTTTTGGATTTTGCTGGATCATATGGTGGTTCTCACTGTAATTGGAACAGTATTGTGTATTACGCATGCACACATGTGTGTGTGTGTGTTGGTGGGAGGTTCAGATATCAAACCTTAACCCCAAACTGAAAGTTTAACAAAGCAACTCAAATTATAAAGAAACTATGTGGAGCTGAAGAACACTGTGAACAAAATAAAAACCACCAGAGTATATAAATAGAAGACTTGATGAAATAGAAGAAAGAATTTGTGAAATCAAAAAAAGAAAAAGAAAAAAAGTAAGTGAAGATAGTCTGGAGATTTGTAGATAAACCTTAACCACTGACATGTACACTTATAGTAAACAATAAAAACCGTTTAAGTCCTGGCAAGATAAACAAGACGCTCACATTAAAGGTCTAGTTACTTCAATTCTTTTTATTTTAACATATCATGTACATCTTTCAACAACACAGAAACCACAGTGTAAAGAGACAAAACAAATATGAGCCAAAGATTCAGACAGATACAAAGAAAACTTGGACAACATGCAAGAACAGATGCCTAACTGTATTAGTCAGTTTTTTGTCTTTATAATTAAAATGCCCCACCTATACAACTTCTCACTTTTTCTCCTGTTACTGATTTCTTTTTTTATACCTTTGTGGTCAGGAAATATTCTTACTATCACTTCAGGATTATCAGATTTACTAAGAGTTGTGGCCTAACATATCATCTCTTTAGAAGAGTGTTTTGTTGTACTTTTAGTTTTCTACTTTTCAATGGAATGTTCTTCATGCATGTCAGTCCCACTTGGTCTACCGTGTAGTTCAAGACCTTCTTACTGATTTGATGTCTGGATAATCTGTCCATTGTTGAAAATAGACTGAAAACTTGACTACTTTTTATTGTTATTCATGTCTCTTTCAATCCTAGGACCCTGCCTTTTGAGCCAGTTAAATATGGAATGAAACCTCTACAAACTGTGAGCTGAAATAAACTTCTCCTTAACTTTAGGCATTAGGTATTTTGCTTCAGCATCCAGACAGTAACTAGGATGCTCAGAAGGTTGCCCTGGAGGCAGTGTGTGTGTTTTCAGCATCCATTCCCTTTGTTCTCACAGAGTTCCCATGCATCAGAAGTCTTCATACAATTTGGGAGGTTAAAGCTAAAGCTGAAAAAGGGCACTTACCAACCAAAGGAGCAACTTTAGTCAACCAAATTCTATTTTTCACTTTGAAACTGTGTTCTATCATTACTGTTTAAAGATTTTCCACAATATCAAGACATGAAAAAAGTAGTTTTTCCTTTCTGTTGAAGTAAGTAGCCAGAAATTTGCCAGGGAATTCTAGCTTCTGTTTATATTTATAAACTAACAGGTACTCAATGGCAGTAAAAGCATTAGTAAATTTCAGATGATATTTCAGATGATTTTCCTAGCATGAAAATCTCCAAATTGTCTCTTAAATTTTTCATGGTGCCACCTCAAATTCCTGCAAACATTTCAGGAGTATGTTATAACTACAGTTTTAAACTGAGTTTAGTTTTGGTAACCTCCAGCCTTACCTGGGCATTTTGGTAGTTGGCAGATAGCCAGTTCAGTGGTATGGCACCTAACTCCAGGGAATCAACGTTGTTTCCCTAATAATTACTACTTTAAATTATAGAAATTAATGTGCTAACAATGATTATTAATATAAAGGTGCTTAAAGGAAGCTTACGTGATTCTGTTGTAGAAGTATCCATAGATTCTTCAGTTGAGTGGGTTTTTACAAATTCTGGAATAATCAAAGATATATCTCACAGAATAAATTGCAAGTAGAAATTATATGAACTAATTGAGTTTACATGCCATAGTTTTTAACAGTTCAAAAAATAATAGTTGCTAACACTGTGGATCCTCCTAGTCAGGAAATAAATGGCAATACTGAAAAGAATGCATGAAGCAAGTGATTGTGAGCTCACTGTTTTCTCATTTCCTGATACTCACTTCTATTCATTGACAGTTCCATCTTTATGTAATCTTTACTTTCACATTCAATCAATAACTTTTGCCATTTATATCAGTATGAATTTCTCAAGCCTATCCCTTTTGTTCTGTATGACATATCTAATATGCAATAAAAAGTTTCCTTTCCTACTTCCAGTTCAAAAATCTATTTTCTAGCATATGGCTAAAATATTTTCCCTAAAATTAAATCTGATAATACCATTCGACTACAAAATGTCTGTACTGACTCCTTATGCCTTAAATAAGTACTTTACGCTCAGGCCTTCTATGACACAGCTGCTCTCCTAAGCTACCCCTGGATCTCAGCACTCACTTCAATACTAATGAGGTTGTCATCTTTTATTCACACTGCGAATTTATGCTAGCATCATAGTCCTAAAATACTAAATGTTTTCCTCCTTTATTTGACTAACTTCTGTTTATCCCTTAAGGCTGTATAAAATTTTCCTAAAGCACACATATCTCTATTTGCCTTATAGTATATTAAAATGATTCATAATGTGCTTGTGTCCTTCTGAATTCTGAATTTCATGGGAGCAATAACAAAATTGTACAGTATTCATTTTGTATGTTCCTAGTATCTGGAACATAATGACACCTATATGGAAATACAAGCTCACTATTAAAGAATTTAAAATTTATTATTGTATAATTATAGCCCTGTAAATTTTAAACTATAAGTTTCAAAATGTTAATATATTTAAGAAACCCTGTATAGACTAAACATTTATACAGTATTATTACCTTTAATTTGCTGTGCCACAGATTCATAGCTATCCATTCTTATTGATGGCTTTTCTTCATCCTTCCTGAATTTTTAATAGAAAAAATTTTAACATTTCAAACAATGAGTTCATATATGGTAAGAGCTACAATGGACAGTCTCTCTATATATGAAGTTAACATATTCTTTAACCTTTTATTTATTAGTTATTAAGTGAACCAGTAAGAAGCACTTAAAAGTATAAATCCAAACTATGTAATTCTATGTATTCCATGAATGAGGCTGACAACCTCAACAACATTAATAACAAAAATGACAAAAATATGGGTAGACACATGAGATTTCCTTTTCCTAGCATGTTACTCAATATTGCATTGATTACTATCACAAGTTGTACAAGGAGACTCCCTGGCACAAACTTATTTCATATGGTTACCGATATGTGACCTTGAGTGAGCTGCGTAACGTCTCTGAGCTTCAGTTTCTTCACCTACTCAAACTTCGGTGTAACAATAACTTCCTTATAAAGTATTTATAATGATCACATGTAAAGTTATTAAAAAACACTCAGCACACAACAGACACTTAAAAGTGAAGTATAAGTATTATATTTGGTCTGAAACTATTTATTCTTGATAGTAAATAGCTCAAATGAATATCCCTGAGTCTCTGAACCAAAATACAGCCCAAAGGCAGCCAACTCAAGTTTCTATCTTTTTCATTTAAATCTACTCATTGCATCTAGAAATACTAATTGCTTCATGCTAAGTAATAGCCACTTCAAATTAAGGGTAATTCATATTTTAACAATATGAAATAAAAGTTTTATGTATGTTTAATGTAAAACAATGGGTATTTGTGAAAAAAATTTCTAAGTTGATCACAGTCTAATGACTACTCTATTGGATAATGCCATTTCAGACTATAAAAAATTTCAAACAGAAACAAGATGATACCTTCTGATTTGATTCAAGTGGTCTACATAAAGCAGTAACACATTATCCATTTCTTTACATTCATTACTGCTTATATGTCCCATATTATTGTTTTTAATTAAACTAATTCTTATATTTCACTTACATTGTCTTAGACATCACAGTTTTCAAGGAGTATTTAGAACCATCTTTGAGGTGATTTCTTAGTGTTTGCAGTTTTTGAATTAACTTTACTACTTGTGCAATGTTTCCTTTGACAGTTTTAGCAGATGTTGGAAGATTTTCTTCTAAAATATCATGATCTTTACTTATCTAAAGTAATAAAATTAAAATAGTTATTTAAGCAATATCCATATCATTCACATATCTAAAAAATGTCATTATTTCCTTCATCAAATCTGAGTAATTTCTATATTATTCTTTGCAGCTATATATGATAATATAAAATTTTATGAAAACACTAACATGAAAAATTACCTACTGATAGACCTGGCACTCACCGAGGACTTTTACATGCCTAAAATGGTATCAAATCTTTTATTTACACTTGGATACGTAGAAATTTTAAGCAAATCCAGTAACAAAAATGCAACCAAGATTATTCATAAGACTCATTGTAAAATAACTACCTCAACTAAATTGTAAGACTACTTTTACTATGGCAAATTATGGAAAGATAATAGTTTGCTTTCAAAGTTATTCTTTATTAAATCCCAGAAGATAAATATCCATGGAGCTAGGATTCCTCAGGCTGCACAGGGAAAAGTTAACCCCCTTTGTGTGACCTTTGCAACAGACCAAGTTAAAAATCAACAGGTAGTGTGTCAAACCCATAACTGATTTCTAGGTAATGTTTATTTAAAGAAATTTAAGTAAGAAGAAACCACAATGAAAGAAACGTGTTGACAGCCAGTATGTGGAAACATAAACAAGCAGAACAGTAATTAGGGGTGCCGAGGTGGTATCAGAAAGTTTTGGCAGGATAACTGCAAAGATCTATTCACATAGAAACCTCTAATCCTTATGATGGAAGGAAAAGGAAGGTGGCTAAAATGGAAGTCAAAGCAAGTGCTAAGGCCTTGAATGGAGAAGTTCTAGCATTAGGGATTTAGGACACAAGCTTTATTTTAATTGTGACTCTATGGAATGGGACTCAAATACACCATCTAGTTGTAAATGTTGAGCAATGCATTAATAACCTGAGATTTTGTGTCAGGTAGATATAGAGAGGGATATAGAACTGGATGAGGGAGTTAAGGAGTCCTATGGAAACTCTCTGGGCAAGAACCCAAAGAAGAGCTAACAATCATAAATTGAGTATAAAAGCAATGTACCAATTAGATATTATTATCAATTTATTTCCACACAACTCAAAATTCTATCCTTATTTTGGGATAGTGGAATATTTCTTTTCTGGCAGGTGGCACGATTCTGGCCTATATCAGCAGAGGTTCGTAGAGAGCCACTGGAGTAGGAAGAAATGTTACTGCCCACTTCTGTCATCTCTCTGCTCACTGTTAAGAATACAATATACCCACTAGCTCTGACTTCTAGCAAGTTTCAAAGATATCATCCCCATAGATGGCTTCCTGGTTAGATCCATGGAATGCACAATTCCTATGAGAAGCTTTCCCCAGAATGTCTCAGCAAAATACTCAAGTGGAGAACCTTCGTGGACAGCTTCCCAGGAGAAGGAAGCATTTCCTGGGAAGATGTCTACAAAGGGTAGTTTCTTAGGCAGCTTTCTAGTGAGCTTAAATTTTGCCAGATGGCACTCATAAAATCCTCCCTCCCCTTAGCTACTCATCTTTAGAATTTCTGGGTCTTAGCCTCGGGGTAGAAGGAAAAGAATAGGGGTGTTCAGATTTGTTCCTCCTTGAAACGTTCTGCTTTCATCCTCAGGTTAGAGACTACTCCTTGTAATTCTCTTCCTGTATTCATTAAAACTGTCTTTATTCCTTAGTTAATATTCCTTACTCTATGATAATAGGTTTCTTAAACTTTCCCTAATCAAATTAATGGGTGGTTTTTGCCCCTGTATTGAACCATAAGATATATTTCCCCAACAGGAAATAAATTTGAAGTCCTTAATAGGAGAAAAGATGATGATATAGAACTAAAAGTACAGTAGTTTTTTACATCTAAGACCTATTAAAGAGACTTATATGGTACAGTTCTAACAGGACACCTCTGAAAAGGACAGGGTCATTCAGCATTTCAGTGATGCAGCTTACCACACACCATAATGGATTCCATACATATCTCTATACATCATGACAACAGGCACTAACAGAACTAGTGGGTACTCTCAATAGAATGTATTACCAAAAAAAGTAAGACTGTGAAGTATCAGTATGGTTAAGGATTCCTAAAGAAAGCCTGTAAAACAGCCATATTTCTAGCTCCCATACGCACATAAAAATTTGAATCTAATCACATATATGTATAACAAATATTTTATGTGATACAATCCATCAACTACACTTTAAGAAATATCCTTTCAAAATAAGACAGAATCAGAAACTTAAATATCATGTTTTCTCCTATAGGATACCTAAAAATAAACAAATGAGTGAGTGAGTAACAGCAGGAAACTAGAGGACAGACCTTTGAAGACAGGGAAGGGGATGGAGGAGACAGGGTGATAGGGGCATGAAGGAATTGAAAATGATCAAGATATGTATAAATGCATGTATCACATTTCCAAAATAAACTTCATTATTCTGCATTAATAATATATATTAGTAAAAAAATGAAACACTGCTTTGGAAGTAGAAGAAAATACACATAGGCAATGTAATTGATGCCATCAAGTTCAGAAAATATTCAAGAGATACAGTTAAGGATTTAAACTTAGAACTCCACATGAGTATAAATGTACAGTGAGGATTCTCCTGGAGACTATTCATGTGTAAATTAAGACTTCATATTTACTGGAGGTGATGGTAACTAGCATTAAGTCACGAATAGTACATATAGAGATAAATGGACAATTTGGGAGGCAAAATACAAAAGACTTATGGATAGATTGATTATTAAGGATAGAGGAAAGTAACTTGCCAAGACTGATTACCCTATTTCTAGTTTATTTAGTTGGATAAATGGTACCAACATTCACAAAGCTATGGACCTGAAGAGTAAAGAGTTCTTGTTTTTGACCTATTGGATTTGAGTATTAGAAATTTGGAGTCTAGTGGATGACTGAGAGCAAGAGATGTGTTTTAAAATTACTAGTAGGAAGGTAAAACTTGCATGGAATAACTGAATGACATTACTTAAGTGGAAAGTTTGGAGAAAACAAAAGATACAGGATGAAATCTTTCAGCAGGCCAACATTTTATGGTTGAATAAAAAAGATGACAGAAGAAAATACAGCACAAGGGGTCAAACACTGATAGCACAATTTATAGAAGTAAAGGGGTAATGTTTTAAAAATAATTAATTAATAATGTCAACTATTTTGCAAGAGTATTACAGTGGATTTCACTCTATTTATCTAGAAAGATAATGGCCAATATGCCATAATCAAAGAATCACTAACACTTTTCTAATCAGCAATATCTACCTAAAATGATACGAAGTGCGGAAAGTTTTCCACTTTGGGGCCAGAGAAAAATTAATGAGTAGGTATTAACGAATAGTTAGAATGTCTATCTTAACACTTGTAAGTGGGCCTCATTTCTCTAGATAGGCTTAGCTGTCAAAAGTGTTTAATTTAATCAGTATAAAGCATGACAAAGAGGAAAACCTGACTAGTATTCTAAATTAAAAGCTATCCTGGAAATCACTCCATCATATTAATGGCACATATGAAAAGTCTTTTCTAAAACAGAATTAAAAATCCTTAAAGATAGAGACCAGGAGGTCTTAACCTGGTAGTAAGGTATCTGAAATTCAAAAGTACAAAGGAGAATCATTAAAACAACATATTAAACTTAAGAGAAAAATATATAATTTTATATCTATGTATATTTTATACATGAATTTTTAATATAGGAGGATTCAAAATCAAATTCTTTCTTGTTACTGGGGATTTAGCTCAGTGGTATATGTGCCTGCCTGGCAAGCGCAAGGTCATGTAATTCTTTCCTTACTCTTTTATGTGAATTGGGGAAAGATAAATAGTTCAATTTGCATCATTTGATTTTAGGAAATATATAGATAGGAAGATATATATATGAAAGGTATAGGAATATATGAACAGAGTTATCCATCACCCAAAACATTGTTTTCTACCCACTAATTCCTCCTCTATCTAAAAAGATTATAGCAAACGTTAATTTAAAATTTTAAAACTTATATGTACTTCAATTTCATTTTCAAATAAACAAATATATTAATTAGCAATTAAGAAATGTCACACTTACCTCTTCCATTTGATTGACCTGTGCCTGAAACCACTTTTTGAAAAAGAAACAACAAACAGTTAATGACAAGTTGAATTTCTGCAGCAAAATACATACGCATATATATCATATCTGTGAATCTTCATCTGTCAAGCATTGCTCCTTAATCACATTAATGCAGAATGGGGAGACTGCAACATACAACTGAATGTAAAGTTTTTAAATACTTACAGAAGCAAGTGTGGATTTTTCTAACTACTTCAGAACTTATACACTTCATTTACATGTATGTCCTGATTACGTTTTAAACATGTTTAAGCAACAATAGAGTGAACATACCTTAAACAGAGATTCCAAAATCTAAAAAAGGAAAATTTAATAAATTTAAACATGAAATTCTTTATATGTTATATTTAATTCTAGTCTTATAATTTTCAATCACAAAAATGCACAAGTGACTAAAATATAAACTTTATAAGTCTATAGTTCAAAATCACTTTTATGTTTAGAAACAGCATTTTAGTTTATATATAACTGAATTCTAAAATAAATAATTTTCAACTCAAACAATAATAAGGCTTCAAAATAATTCACATAAATTATTTCATTTATTTTCTTAAAGTAAGCATAAAATTTAAATTACCATGAAGTGTATTACATTTATTTTCATATAGCATCAAATGCAATAATGAAAATCATTAGCTTTCCAAAAATATTTCTTTAATATAATTTTATTCATGATAAAGGGATCAAAATAACAAGATACAAAACACTTTTACTGGATATGTTTCTGTAAAGTTCAATGAGCTGGTTTGGGCAACTGTAAGAAACTTAATAAACCCACACAACCAATTATATCATATATTAATATATAACACTGAAAATATGTGTAAAATTATTACATATGCCAACAAAAAGACACTGTCTCATGTATGGGTAAAAGTTCTTAATTACATTATTAAAAATAATACTACATGTATTCAGGCAGAGGAAAAATTATTTACAAATCATGAAAAATTATTCCAAAATTTCTCATGTGCAACACCTGAATCTGTATCAGTGGTGCAAAAAGTGTGGTCCCATAATTCATAGCATCAGCATGACACAAGCACACTGGATAGCAATGTACACTCTCAGGACCCACCTCAGCCTTCTGATTTACACCTCTGAAACAGGGGTTAGCAGGCACCTACTCCTGTAAGTCATTAGTTTTCATGCTAGGTTGAGAAGCACTGAACTAAATAATAAGAGTGTATCTAAACCAAAAGTCTAGAGTCTCCAGAAAGTATACTAAAGTAAATTAGTATTCATGTCTGATAAAAAGTGTTTTTTAGGGCCAGGGATTTGGCTCAGCAGCAAAAGCACCTGCCTTGCAAGCATGTGGGCATGAGTTCAATCCCTAGTACCAAAAAAAAAAAAAGTATTTTTTAGCTACATAGGCATTTAGAAAACAATATCCACTGAGACATATTATCTTCAAATTACATGATTCATTTCAGGGTTAAAATCTCTCTTCCTGCTTTGGAACCTGAAGGGAAACACTAACAAAGTCCATCTCTCATTATATCTAGAGTTGTAAGATTATCTTAAACCACTTAGAACTAGGAGAATGGTGCCTTTCTGTATATCAGTTATCTGACAATGTGGAATCCAGAACATCATTGATACAAAAAAGTGAAAGATGAAACCTGATTGGAAGTGAGAAAAGCCAACATTACAGAATTAACACAAAATAAAATACTATGAAGACATAAAGCTATGTCTATAAAATTTGTGAGGAAAATATTAAACCTCCACTATAAACTTAATAACATTATCAACTAAATATAAGGACAGAATGAAACTATTTTCAGAAATTCAAAGATTTTGAATTATACATTCTAACTTAGCAAACAAAAAAATTAATCCTAGAAAAGTGAACACACAAAAAAGATAAAGAAATCAGGAAATACTTTAAAAACTGTTGTTCAGAGTACTGCGGTTCAATGTTGCTGTTACACAAAAGCTTCCTAAAAAGAATGTGGCATAATGCTTAAAGATAAGTTTAAAATGCCAGTCTGAAACCATGATTCCACACAGGCAGGTACATCACAGAGGCCAAGAGAAGACAATTCCAAAGAGGACAAAATAGTCAACAAAGTGAAATCTGCTAAAGTGATAATGGCCATAATGAAAGAATGAGTTAATACAAATAAAAAAAAAAGAGGATCTAAGGAAAACCATGAAAATCATGAATGCCCAATGCAAAAAGGAACTAGATTCCATAAAGCAGAGTCAGCAGAAATCCAAGAGATAAGAAATTCTACTGAAGGCACAGTATTGCCAACCAATGTGAATGAAGACTGTAGCTGGCAATCATCAAGTGAATCACTTCTTAAAAACAGCAAGGGATGGTGAAAAATCAATTCAATAGCTGCTAGATGATGCAAAGAAGACTAATATAAGATTTATTTAAATCAATGAAAAATCAGAAAATAGTACAAAGGGCATAAAAATCTGTTTACAGAAGTAATAGCAGAAAACTTTCCAAGCAAGAAAAGAATAGAATTTCACATATATGTAAGTGAGGCATGTAGAACTTCAAATAGCCATGATCAGAAGAAAAACTACAGTAATGCAGATAATAGTCAATATTCTAGAAATTCAATACAAGAACAAAATATCAAAAGCTGTTACAAAAGCAGATCACCTATAAAGAAAAACAGCAGAATTCTCAACACGAACATTTAAGTCAAAAGGTTGAAGTCTTTTGAGTCCTAAAAGAAGTTAATTAAGCCAGACAGATATATCCTGCAAAATTATCTTCAAAATTGTGAGAGAAATAAGATATTTCTACATTAAAGAGAACCCGGAGAAATTTATGACTACCAAACAAGTGCTTCAAGGATATTCTGGGAAAAAGCAATGAAAACAATTCCAAGAATCTCAACAGAGGAACACCAGCAACCCAGGAAGGTCCTGCTGGGGGCACACACAGCCAGCCCAATCCAGGTAGGTATCCCAATGACGAAATGCCAGCTCAGTGCAGGTGGGACTCCCAGAGATCCAGCAAGGCTCCAGCCGTGGTGCACACAATGGACAGATGGGACCAGCAGTATGGAAAAGCCCAAGTCAGCGGTGAGAATATAACCCAGAAGTTAGTAAGTTAGGTGAACCAGCATTGTGCTTTTACACACAAACATGTGGAATAGAAGTGGGCAGGTAGAGCTGCCTTAGGGGTTTTTTGTTTGTTTGTTGGTTTTGGTTTTTTTAAGGACCTGGGAAAAACTCTAGCAGCAGAAGACCAGTCCCATCCCCCAAACCCAGATGCCAAGATCAATCCCATCCCCACCACAAATACCACTGGAGTACACATTTCTGGGAGTTGACAGACTATTACAAAACTGTAGACACCAGAGGAATTGCATACCTTTTCTCTGTCTGATTGGTTTCTCTTTTCCTGTAAAGCTGGTTTTTGTTTTTACTGTAACTTTTGATTTTTGTTTTTTTTTTTCTTTCATGACTTTGATTTGTTACCTTTCTATGTGTTTTTTTCTACTAATGCTCTTTCTTCCATCACTTATCTTGCTTGATTTTATGATACTTTCCTTTGAGTAAACATTGTCTACTCTCTTTCTGTTTCACTTCAATATTCCTTAGCTTTTTCTTCTTTTTCTCTTGTGTTTTACAGTTTCCAAAACTTGGGTGATTTTCCTTTGCACTATCACTTGCTGCTAAAATATTTAACCTCATTCATCTGTTTATCTTGCCCTCTATCCCTCTTAAACCAACTCCCCAACACTTATGGAGTGTAAAATCACTCCATAAGGGGTAAATCACTGCATAAAAGTTCCTACAATTTGTTGGATTTTGTTCTATAACTGTAGAATTTGGTCCTATGATTAAAGGACTCAGGTTAACAGTTACCACAGTTTGTCAATATCCAGCATATAACTGAAACTGTTGTTATTGATACTTTTACTACTTTAGCCAGGATGTTATACCTGTTATAATCTGCTTTTCTCCCCTGTATAGCAACACTGTGATTGTATGAAGTCATGACAATCACTGCAGTCTAGTACCAAATTACTGGATCTTGAGTCAAATAGGTAACAACTTTTCATTCCCAATACAGTGGGAAGGCAAGTTTTTGGGATAGACGCTAAGGCTAAGAAATATATACATCTAGAAAACATCCCTGAGAAACAAACATTTCCTAGGGAAACCTATATACTAGGGATAAACCTTTGTACCATAAGAATCTGTAAGTATCAGTACAAAAAATAAAAGTAGAAAATGGAAACTGACAAGACAGAGAAACAAAGTACAACCCCAGATTCTTATCCCACCCAAGACAAATGCAGAGCACAGTGAGACAGAAGAAATCAGAAGTCAACCACTGGAAATGAAGTCAACCACTTTCTGAAATGACAGCAATGGAAGTGAAAAAACAAACGGGTGCAAAAGAAATGTTGAAAATGAAAGACACTGAAGGGAACATAGTTTTTTCTAAAAATAGGAGCACAGGAAAACAATGGAACCCATGAATGTCCAAAATAGGAAAGAAATGGAATCCATGAAACAGATCCAAAAAGAAGTCCAGGAGATTAAAAACTCCACTGAAAGTATATGAAGCAGTACATATAGAATACTGGATCTAGAAGACACGATTGTGGTTAGTGACCATGAAAAGAAAGGTATCTTAAAAATCACAAATGACCATGAAACATGAATCCAACAGCTACAAAATGTAGCAAATAAGAACAACATATGATTAACTGGAGTCAGTGAGGAAGTTGGAGACAAAAGATATAAAAATTCTCTTCACAAAAATAATGGTAGAAAATATCCCAACTATGAATAAAGAATTCAATATACAAGTACATTAAGCAGACAGAGCTCCAAGCAGCCATGACCAAAATGAATCCGCAGCAAGGCACATAATACTCAAGATATGAGAAATTCAGCACAAGAACAGAATATTTAAAGCAGGTAGAGAAAAGAAAAAATTACATATAAAGAAGCGCATTAGGATCACATTAAACTTCTCAACACAAATCCTCAAATCAAGGAGCACTTACAGGGACAAATTTCAAGCCCTGAAAAAAAAAAACCCTTCAACCCATATTGATGTACCCTGCAAAACTATCTTTCAAAATCACTAGAGAAATAAGGTATTTACACGACAAAAAACAATATGAGCCACTAAACCATCTCTTTGGAATGTTCTGAAGGATACAGCAGAAAAGGAAAACAAAGACCACAAGCACAAAAGCACCAATAGAAACAAGCTATCAGGCAGGGAAAGCAGTTAAACAGAGACAAGGAACTAATAATAGGAAATATAAATGGTCTCAACTCACCAATCAAAAAAAAAATAG